CTATTGGATGCCGGACTATTGGAGTTTTACTGTAATAGTGCCTCCCAGAAGCTGGCCAGAAGAAGAGGAGAGAAAACTGGAGTGATACTTATTCCCCTGCCTTCCTGTCACCGACAGCACTCACCAATAGGCTAGCAGCATGGCCTTGCCCTCCCTAGAAGGCTCCCAGTGCACACCTCACTCTCTCGGCACCCTCCCATCCCCAGCAGCTCCCATTGCCTAACCTAATCCCATTCATAATTGATTCTGCACTTAGGAATTCCTTTAAATGTATATTGCTAGTGTGAAGGATAAGTGTCCACTCCACTCCTAAAATCTAGTGGCCTCTTAAAGGACACTAACGCTGGCATGGCAGTGGGCATGTGTTGATAGATTCTTAAATTAACTTATCAAATGACTAAGCATCATCACAGACAATTGAAAGAAAGTATCTTCTCAATCCACGTTTGCAGTCGAGAGAGCATGTAAGATGTTGGGCTGTATTTAGAAAGGGACAGAAAATAATACTAAAATATAATGCCATTATAGGCACCAATGATACACCCGCTCACTGAATCATCTGCTTGTTTTGGTTATTCTATTTCAAAATAAGGGAAATCAAGAAGGTCCAGAGAAGGCCACCAAAGCTACTAAAGACACAGAGACTTCTATATAGCAAGAAATTAAAAGAGTTAAGACTATTCAGTTAAGAAAGGAGACAAATAAGAGGTGACATGAGACCATTACACAGTTTAAAGCAGGTCATATGGGAACTCCTGTATACCTTTTCATAATAAAGGAAACAGCTTACTAAATAAAAGAAAACAAATTTGAAAAAATGATAAAAAGAAATATTTTTCTACACAATGCAAAACTCACAGCCATAAGTCATTACACAGACAAAGAATGTAGCACATTAAAAAATGGACATATAATAAGAATATCCAGGTGTGCTCTCTGCAAAACTCTCCTGGAACATTTTCCTACATCTCAATGGAGTTATGCTTCACTAAGGAGCAGTCACACTAAACGTTTGCTACCAAAGTCCTTAAGCGTGCTTGAGGAAAAGAGTATGTAAATGTACCAACCACATACATGTTATATCAGATTTTGTTGCATGTTACCTGACACACAGCTATCGGCAATGTGATTAGTACTTTATGCAAGGTATCCATTCTAGAGCACTGACAAAATGACAGGCGGTAGCCAACAAACAAGCAGTTTCTGCTTCTCAGTTCACATTTCCTTTGGTAGCAGCCTAAAGGAAGGAGCAGTTGGGAACACACAAAAATAGCATTTAAACTCTTGCAGCTTCTATAAATGGTTTAATTAGGTTGTCTTCACATAAAACCTGCAAAAATTCAAATTTTGAGAAACCTCAGATTAAATCTCAAATCTTATCTTTTATATACAAACCCAGATTGAAGTAAATTATAATAGAAACATCTTTGGGTCTGTTTCTGTCATTCTGTCAAACATTATTATTCTCCATCATAAAAATGTATTGAATCTTCTCTAGTCACAGGATAAATTAAATGTATTTGGAGAACTTGTTAGTATTTGTACTACACATCTGTACTGCTCTATATGGGACAGAATCAGAACTGTGCAAGTATGTGCGATAGGTCCGGTACGGTTAAGAGGCTTCCTTTTAAATAGGGGGTAGAACAGTTTGGTTTTGTAGTAGTTGGCTTTTGCTGTTGCCATGCGTGCTGTTTCAGTATAATGACAACAATGAAGTCCTAAGAGACCACAGATTTGTGACAATGTACTATACATGTGAAAAGTGCAAAACAAATTCTAGACACCAGACACTTTCTAAATTGTGCTCATCTTCATTGGCAATAAAGCCCAAATGACAAGCATAGGGTAGAATTTTTCTTGCTTATCTGTGCCTGATTCTGTAGCCTTATACATCACAAGAAACAAAGACACTTTCTTAAGTTGGCTTAAAGGTTGGGAGAGTTTCTCATATGCTCCATGACTAGACAATGACTAGTACACACCTTCCTGCCTCTGCATGACCAGAGTACTGGTCCTGGACAAGAATAATCTGTATATGAGGTCTGCAGCAGTTTCTGGTCAAAATCCATATGTATATTAACTAACTTTATTACTTCATTAATCTACTTTCGAGACAAAACCAGAATTTGGCTCTACATTTAACCAAAAAAGACTGATCACGGCCCCTCATTTGGGCTGACTAATTCCAAACTTTCCCTGTTTAACATTTTGAGATATCACACCATGCAGCATCTCCCACCTGAACCATAAAATGAAGATTAGGATTATAATATGACTGACCTCTTGTTTTATGCCAGGTTAATGACTACATCACTGTGAGGGTTGCCGGGCGCTTTGCTATTAGCTTGGTCTACAGGTGGCAACAGGAACGTGTGCAATTGTCTTTGTCACCACTACAGGATGTGGCACTTCCACAGTTAGAAGAACTGGTAGGTTGTAACTGCTTGCAATCAAGGGCCTTTACAAATGTTAATCTACAAACCTTTGCAATTAAAGAGTTTTCACTGAGTTAGGAAGCCTTTGGTTTTAACACTTTTGCCCTTTGCAGTCCTTGCTAATAGATATGGATAAATATAGCCTCTATTTATTAGCAGTCCAACGCTGACTTCAATTGAGATACATGCTGACTCAGTGAGAAGAAATCTGGAAAAAAAGGAATTTGTAAGTGCAGGCACTCATCCTTAAATATCTATTTTACAGCGAGTTACAATCAGATAGTAAGCATCTATCATATTGTTTTAAAAATTAACCTTATTGCTATAGGTGAACAAACAATGGTTAGAAATTGCAAAGAAAGGTAGTTTTGATTCTGATATAATAATGCAACAGGCTTGAGTGTTTCTTGGAAAACAGTTTTTATTTTAGAAAAAATTTCTGATACATTATCACTTAATAGGGCTTTATTATTAGCAAGCATAGCACAAATACAACTATCAACTGCTTGCTAATAATAAAGCCCTATTAAGTGATAATGTATCAGAAATTTTTTCTAAAATAAAAACTGTTTTCCAAGAAACACTCAAGCCTGTTGCATTATTATATCAGAATCAAAACTACCTTTCTTTGCAATTTCTAACCATTGTTTGTTCACCTATAGCAATAAGGTTAATTTTTAAAACAATATGATAGATGCTTACTATCTGATTGTAACTCGCTGTAAAATAGATATTTAAGGATGAGTGCCTGCACTTACAAATTGAGGCAGACACTTTCACTTACTGTTATTGATATATATCAGAGGGGTAGCCGTGTTAGTCTGAATCTGTAAAAGCGGCGAGGAGTCCTGTGGCACCTTATTGACTACCTGAAGTGTAGGAGCTTAAGCTTTCATGGGCAAAGACCCACCCCTGTACATGCATCTGACGAAGTGGGTCTTTGCCCACGAAAGCTTATGCTCCTACACTTCCGTTAGTCAATAAGGTGCCACAGGACTCCTCGTTGTTATTGATATATGTATCACTGTATGGCCTAGAGGTCCCAGTCAGAGGAGTGTGACCTCACTTTGCTAGGCAGCCTACACATAGATAATGAAAAGGTGCCTTTGTACAGCACCTAACAGAGTCTGATCAGGTCATGTTAACACTGCATTGTACACCTGAATTTCCGGCACTCAGGCTTGTGGACTTGGTGAGTACATTTAACGCTAAATAAATAAATTCTGCAGCAGTGAGTCTTAGAGCCTAGGTCAAATGACTCTTGCTCATAGAGCTGGCACTACAAGGGCTAAAAATAGCAACATAGATGCTCTCACTTGGACTGGAGCCTGGGCTGAGGCCCCTTTGCTGAGCCTCAGAGTCCAGCCCAAAGGTGGAACATCTATATTGCTACGTTTAGCCTCACAAGTACAAGCTCTGCAAGCCCCGGAAGCTCTAGTCAGTAGATCTGGACTCTCAGACTTGCTGACACAAGAATCTGAGGTTTTATTATTGTTGTTTTTTATTTGCAGCATAGACATATACAAAGTTTCCAAGCCCAGGCTTCTCTACTACATTGTAAACTGGATGCTGGATCCCCGTCTCACAGCCATATTAACTTGTCCTTACTGCACTATTCAGACCTTCTGACTCAAGTCTGCAACTTGACCGGGCTTGGACCTCAGTCACAAGGAGATTTGGGCTCTGACCCAACTCTCTATCAGAGTCCTAGGGCCTCGGTCCTGAGTGCTTGCTTATCATAGTGTGCAGTGTAGACATACCCTCGATGCTACTGTCATATAAATAATAAACAGTTTGTGTTTATCTAGTTAGCCCTCAGTAATTAGGTAACATATCAAAAAGTTTTTTCTGTTTTTTTCCCCCAGGGTCAGATGCTCACCAGAGTTAAACTTTCATCCAAATCAGCTAAGGAATTCTCTAAAGTAAACAGGAAAAAATTGAGAGAGGAAGAAACAAAGGTTTCCAAGAAAAAAGTAAGCAGCAATCAAAAACTCAGAATTAAGACAGCTAACAAACTTATCGGAATATTTTTGCATTTTTCTTTTCTAACTATTACTTGGTTCTATGGGAAGGACTTAAACACAGCTACATCTCAACACTGAGACTTTAAGATATTTCTCCCCAGTTTGTTTGGCGTTTTTTTAGGCCAACAGAGTATAATACCCTAAAACTGCAAGCCCAGATTGTCACCAGGTAACGATCTGCCCCACGGCCCATGATAAAAGTTTCTTTGTACTATGTACTAGTTAGTGTACAAATAAAATGGGCCCAATTTCTAGATGCTGTTTTATACAAAGTCTATTCATTATTAATATATTGCCTGATAACCTTCTTGGATAATAAGGTCCAGTTAAATACATGTCATCCATTTCATCCACAGCTACAACTACCTTTATAATGTATTTCAATGTTCTCTCTTGCCAGTTGGGCCTGGCTAAGGGTTAGGTATGAAATATCAAGACTACAGATTAGATTCCCAGAAGATTTGACTCAGCCTTTTGGTGATGGATAAGCAAGAGGCGGCAGAACAAGGGGGCAGTGTGAGCTAATTCCCCTGGTCTATGTTTCTGCCCCTATGTGACATTCTCTGCAAGCTGCATCAAGGTGAAAGTAGGACCTAAAAAGTTGGAGTGGATTCTGCAATGTCCAGGAGCAGACCAAAGAACAGGTAGAAAAATGTTCCCACTGCTGAGGCTCAGTAGCAACCCTGAGTCCTTCTATCCTCTGACACCCCAACTTCCACCAGCATCCATGCAGACGGCCTCTGATCAGCACCCCCGTTCAAAGCACATTTCTGTTGCCTTTGTGATAAACAGAAGTCAATGTGGTTTACCTAAAAGGGGATCCTAAATATGAGAGTTTAAAAAATGAAGTCCTTCCTGTCTCTTCTTTGTGGAATCACATTGTGCTTTCTGTAAGAGGGGAGGGTTATTCTAGTGTCCTGACTAAAATTCTCCTGCACCTCTTTTTTGTGCAGATTACAGCATGCTGGCTGACTACGTGGTTTTGCCAACCAAAATGCTGCATTCCCACAATACTCTATATAAAAGTCATGAATGCCCCAATGAACTCACGATAAGTTGTCTTTGTGTTATAAAATGTGTTATCGTGATCAGAGGGTTCATGAGGGAAAGGGTTTATGGAATTGGAAAAGAAAAAAAAACCCAAACCAGAACACCCCCCACTCCTAGTAGATTTTTGATTAGTATTGACTTCTCTCCATTTCTATTCTATTGTGTATAAAACATTTATGTTAGAAATTTCAAAAATGTATTTTGAGAGGGATAAGAGCCAGAAAAAAAAATCTGCACATCAATATTTTAAAAAGAGAAAGAGCTATCCCGACTCATTCTGGGGAGCATGGGTACAGGAAACAGAAATGCAGGGGGCTCTGCCAAATCCCCAGTTTTTGGACATCCTAGCCTTTCCCCCCTGCCGCCCAGGTCCCAGGCGCCAGTCCTGCAACCCCACTGTTGTGGGATCTTCTGCTGGTCCTGGACTCAGTTGGCCACCAGCCCTATGACCCACTTGGCTGTTGGCCCTATTTGGCATTGGGGTCCTGCCCAGCTGCTCTGTGTCTGGGGGCTCTGCTGCTGGACCCCACATGTTGGAGGGGTTGCTCGGCCACCCGTCCCAGCTTTAGGAGGCGATGAGGGGTGTGAATGGGGTTAGGAGGGAAGCAGCTCACCACCCAAACTCCAAAAACTGTTCTAGCACCACTGCTGGAGAGTTAAATTATTCTGACATTTATTAATAGCATTCTAAACATAGAGAGTGAGGGATGACAACTTGTTCCTTCTCACTTACTTCAGGGTAATGCCCATTACAATAATCTCTCTACCTCTCAGGAGTCTGTCAGATTGCCATCTGAAATGCCACCAAAACAAGACCTCGGAGACTTGACAACAATATAAATGGAGCAAGGAGGGGAACAGAGAACTTTCAAAACAGAACTGGGGGAGGATTAAGCACTGGGAGGAGGTGCTTAAGTGAATTAAGAGCCTAAATCTCCTTTAGGAAAGTGGCTTAGGAACTTAAGTTGCAGTGAGACTTGGGCACTAAGTCCCAGATCCTCAAAGGTGGTTAGGTGCTTAACTCTCACTTAAACGAATGGGAATTCATTTGAGGATCTGGGTCTAGGTGATTAAGTCACTTTGGAAAATTGGAGTTAGGTGCTGTTGAAAATGTTCTCCCAGAATACAGTTGTGTCATGCTAATTGGTCGATGACCATTTTGCATCTCATCTAGTTGCAGCCACCAGATTTACAGACATAATTCTAAAAGATTACTTTTCGTTTTATTGTAAAAAGTTCTTTTTTCTGCATTTTGAATTTGTGTTGCTAAGCAGTTTATGTAAATATTCTGGGTTAATTTTTAGCAAGTCAGTTAAGTACAGTAGGAGTTCTATTAAATGGATGAGGCTCTCTTTATGACTGCATATATTTTCCATTAGCTTACAAAGTGAGCTATTAGACACTCTTAGCAATTATACTTTAAGTTTCCTGTCTCTGAATTGGTCGACGTTATGTGGGTTTCTCGACAATGCTTAGCCACATGACTGTGCCAAAAAGCCCTCACACTCACTCTCTCTGCCTTGTGTTTTAAATCTTTATAGTGCGTTTGGAAGCAACAGTTCAGATTTAGAGATAAATACAATGCATCATTGCCACCTTGCTCAGACAGCCATTTTGCAATCTGCTCTTCTTGGAAGGGTGTATTGTATGGGTAATACTCATTAATAATTAACATTAATATTCACATTCCCACTGATGGGAGAATCCAATTTTCATTGTCTACATTACACAATTTAACCACTAACGTAAGGTAGCTGCAGTGTTACATTGTACCAGTGATGCTCTTGCAGTATAGTTTTACCCACATCCACACAAGTGCTGTACTACAATACTACAACTGCATGAGGCTCTGGATAGCTATTCTGTGGTTCCTAGAATAGTTCACCAAAGCAGTGCCATGTAAGAGATTCTAAAAGATGATCTGAGAGCCCAGGGGAACAGTGAGAAGACAAGTCACACATCCTAAATTTCACTAAGGAACTCCCCATTAACCCCTGGGTATCAACGTGATTTTAAGACCTTTTTTCCTCCCCAAAATGGAAGGCAATCCATTGTATCCCTCATACATTGGTGAAACTCAGCAATCTTTTATGCTTCATTGTGTCTGGATCAGCTGCCTGGTAAGATCTCACTCTGACTCCAGATTAGTTAACAAATTCCAGATGTATTGTGGCTGCTTACAACATGACTTCTTCACCGTCATGGCTTCTCAGACAGTTCCCCAGAAGTTGTCATTTCCAAATAGTTCCTTCCAGAAAACAGTATACCATCTGGAAGTGTCTGCTAGCACTTTTGTGTTATTACATCCTGTCTCTTTTAAAGAAACCTGTTAAACCCTCTGGCAGTTACTGAGAACATAACCTAATCTATTCCTTTCAAATGTTAACCATTCTTGCAGTTTCTTCATTCATCACTTTATTAGTGATGAATGCTAGACATTGGTACAAGCTGAATTCATCACACAAAATCCTTCAGATGAGCTGGTCTTATAATAGTCCATCCTCCTCAATTATGGTATAGTTAATTGGTGCCTTCTAGTGTTGTCTTCCTTCTAGATAATACCACAGTCTTGACTTGATGTTGCTGGAGTCTGTCAAAACACCCTCTTCCTTCTGTCTCTTCTCTAGTATGCACCTGAGGTTGTCTGCTTCTAACAAGTCTGGCTCGGGATTTTTCTGCTGCAGAACCCTAATACATTTGTTGTCCACACACTCTTTAGAGGTTTCTTTTATTCTCCTGAAGTGCCTATGGTTTTGCTTCACTATCTGCCCATTGCCCATTTGCACTTGATATGCTCTTTGGTTTCCTGGTTGCATTACTGTAGTTTGTGCCAGAATTTTATTCTGCTTAACAAAGGTTGTTAATGGTTGTTTATGAATTTGTTGCCTGGCTCCAGATCTGTCAGATCTCTTGCAGAGGTGTTGTAATAAAACACTCCTCTTTTTTTGTTGGCTTCTCCACATTCGCCAAGTGAAGCACCTGAGCACCCAGGGTTTATCAACCTTCCTCTTGTTGGCAAGATTCTCTTAGGTCTCTGACTCATGAATCTTTGTGTGGGACCAGCATTTAGGCCTTGGCAAGGGAGTATTTCTGTTATCTATTAATGCTAAGTATGGGTCAGCCTTTGGCATTTAAACTTTTATTCAACAGCTTCTGGTCAGTGTTTATGACTGATTCCACTTTGCCATTGTTTTGATAATATCCCAGTGAAGATGTTAATGTGACCAAAATCCCAGTGTTTACTGAATTTCCAGGACTCTCCTAAAACAAACAGAGATCCATTATCAGAACATATAGTATCAGGTATCCTACACTGTGCAAAGTGTGCTTTTATCTTCTGCATGACTACAATGGATCCTGTGTCTAGTAAATAGCTCATCTCCCACAAACTGAAGAAAAAACCCCACTCTACAATGATCATGTAACTCCAAAAATAAACAAATCTACTCCCACCTTTGCCCATGGTCTTTCTTGGAACTTTGTGTTACCATGGGGTCTCTTGTGGATATTTTCCCCAGGATCTGCATACATCACTTATCTCTGAACACCCATAATTGATAATTCATTCAGAGCCAATACATAGTCATTCTGGCTCACCTTAAGCAAACTTCAGTTCTCAGGTGTGATGAATGAACTTATGCATAATCTCATTCCTGACAGAGCAGTTATTCTAGCAGCTTTCTCCCTTAATTATAATCTCATTCTGTATACATAACTTTTCTCTTATCTGCAAGATACTTGATCCTTGGTCACTGGTCATCCTTGTAAGATCATAAGTTTCAGTATCTGCAATGTTCTGTCTTGCTCTGAACCTCTGTATCTCTCTCAGAGTATGTCTACACTACCCTCCTAGTTCGAACTAGGAGGGTAATGTAGGCATACCGCACTTGCAAATGAAG